GGGCCTATCAGTGCACTTGTCCGGGTGGTATCACGTGGACCTATCAGTGCATCACGTGGGCCTATCAGTGCACTTGTCCGGGTGGTATCACGTGGGTCTATCAGTGCACTTGTCCGGTGGTAACACGTGGGCCTCCTCGTCTTCTCCTCCCATTCCCTCTTCTTCTCCCAGTGTAGAAGAGGAGATTCTGAAGATGAGTATGGCGATACAGGCAGCTGTCGAGCAGCCGTAACTGGTGGTTAAGCGGAACAAGGGGTGTGCGGCGCTCGACCGAAGCAAGAGAGAGAGAGAGAGAGAGAGAGAGAGAGAGAGAGAGAGAGTGTGTGTGTGTGTGTGTGTGTGTGTGAGAGAGAGAGAGAGAGAGAGAGAGAGAGAGAGTGTGAGAGAGAGAGAACACGCGAAAGTTAAAAACAGGAAGGAGGAGAACATGAGGGCGAAGCTTCAGTGAGGACACTCAGGAGAGAGAGAGAGAGAGAGAGAGAGAGAGAGAGAGAGAACAGGAAAAAGATAAATACAGGAAGGAGGAGAACATGAAGGGGTAGCTTCAGTGAGGACACTCAGGACAGCGTACCTATGACTGCTATCAGAGATTAGGAAGGAGGTGATTGCGCGGCGAGCCGCACGACCTTGAGTTCACGTATTCGACGTAAGTTAAGTGAATTCCTCTGTCCTCTCTCCGTTCTGCTCTCCCTCTTTCTCTCGTTAGTTATTTTCGTTTCTCTTTTTCTTCCTTCGCTCGTCTGTTCCACCTGTATTCTGCCATTCGCGTTCTGCATTATAGATGCAGTTCTATCCCCCTTCCCCTTTCTTCGTTGTGACAGCCGAAGGATCATACAAAACGAAAAAAAAAAAAAAAAAAAAAAGGGAGATAACAGTCCGCGCTGGATATCCGTGAGTCACTGAGTCTGGCACCCCCTCACGAGCTCCCGAGCTCTGCAATTGCTTTACTGATAGATATCCCACTGTGTGGCGGGTTGGCTGGTGAGACAGCGAGAGAGAGAGAGAGAGAGAGAGAGAGAGAGAGAGAGAGAGTAGTGCCCACAGAGAGAGAAAGAGAGAGAGAGTAGTGCACAGAGAGAGAGAGAGAGAGAGAGAGAGAGAGAGAGAGAGAGAGAGAGAGAGGTTTGGCACGAAATGTTAGCAACGACCGTGATGCTAGAACGATCGGAGAGGTGTCCCAGGCACGCAACTGAAAGAGAATCCGAAAGAGAAGGACACGAAAGACAACATGTCCCGATCTTCGTTCGTTTTGTTTCTTTTCCTTGTTTTTTCCCCCCAGGACTACACGTAGATCATGCCCGCAAGAAAGCCTATTGGTTTGTTTACGCCCAAAAATTTCCAGAATGCTAGACCCATAAACTGTTGATAAAGTGACCAGAGCTCGAATCCTGATGGACTCAAAACGAATGAGATTAGGACTCTGAATTACCTACCGTCTTCAACCCGAATAGAACGCCCGGTAATCATAGCTGTATTTGGCTCAACTTTCAGCCCAGATACGGCGATATTTACCGGGCGTTCTATTCTGGTGAAGACAGTAGGGGCGGATCTGATTCAGTTCGATGATGACGATGGCCTCGCTGCGTCACTCACCAAATGAAAACAAGACAAATTTCTGGCGAGTGCACTTTGAAAACATTCTAGAGGAAGATTCATTCTCCGTTCGTTTGGGTTTACGGTTAACGTTTGAAAACAAAGTTGTAAAACCTTCCCGCGGCCAAACCTTTGTGTATTCATTTCCCCAAAATTCCCGCCCCAACCGGGGGCTAGGTCCCACTTACACGAATTATATTGACCGTAGATAGCAAAGATCAACGGCCAGAATCTCGTAATCCGTCCGTGCAAGTGGGACCTTGCCCCGGGCAAAAAGCACTTTCCCGCCACTAGATTGACTTTTTTTGGCGTCATTTTTGCACCCTGCAAAACACTTTCCCGCCGTTGTTTTACACTGCGGCCGTTACCGGGGGCAAGGTCCCACTTGAACGGATTAAGGGGATTGTAGCCGTTGATCTCCTCTATCTACGGTCAGTATCGGTTCAATGCAGAAAAGCAGTTCAATCTTGATTTTCTGCACCCTTTCCACAAACAGATCCAGATTCAGGCATTCAATCCGCTTGCACGGATTAAGGGGATTCTAGCCGTTGATCTGTGCCATCTACGGTCAATAAGTTGGACCTAGCCCCGGCCCAGCCAGGATGTGGAAAAAAAATGACAGGAAAAGCCATTTGGGGGCCTGCGACACTTTTTGTCCCGCCGTTTGGGGGGAAATTAATAAAAAGGTTTCGCCGCGGGGAGGGTTTTGTTTTTGTTTTCGTTTTTGTTTTTTCCGGGGGCTAGGTCCCACTTACACGAACTTAGCAAAGATCAACGGCCAGAATCTCTTAATCCTCGCAAGTGGGACCTTGCCCCGGGGAGGTAAATGGCCCGAAAGTATAATGAATCTGGCGGGGTGTCAAAGGCCCGAAAGTATAATGAATATGGACCTTTCTCGGCCTTTTGGCTAAGATCAAGTGTAGTTTTTTTTTTTTTTTTTTTTTTTTTT